TGAATGTTATCACTAGAGCCAGGATCAGGCAAAGGAATGTAACAGCAGGCTGTGAACTTTACATCTGTGGATGGGGGGGGAGGCAGAATGTAGGCTCCACAGCATGAGACAGAATCTATCAGGAAGGCAAGGTTTTGAATCAAATAGATGTTTTGTAATTTTTGATATAAGAATCTTTTGGGAGTCTGGGATAATTACATCCAATCAGTCCGTTTCATAGCAGAAGGCAGAGAGAAGACACTGTTCTCTGCATAGTCTGGCTGACCATCCTTTTGAGATATACCAGCAGAATGTGTTTGTGTGAGTGTAAATGGATGGTCAAATTATATTCTGGCTGTGTGTCTTAATTTATTACCTCAGTGCAGAATCTGAACACATAACTGAAGCAGAGATTTCACAGTTCTATGTTCACAGTCTTGTTCAAGTGTGGTATTATACACGGAAAGAGAATTCAATCCTCCTCTTACTGTCCAAATACAGAAACAGCCCTGAAAATGCAAAACAGTCTTCCCTAACCTAACACCCTTCATATGTCTGTTGGACAGCAACTTCCATAATGCCCAGGTAGTATGGCCAACAGACTGAGAATTATGGGATCTGAAGACCAATTTGGAGAACGTACATTTGGGGCAGGCTGCTCCAACAATTCAGAGAGTAAATGGTGCTCTTGTTTCCTGTTATACTTAGATAGTTTGGATTTAGAATACAGAATACCAGAGTTGTAAGGGACCTTGGAGGTCTTCTAGTCCAATCCCCTGCACAAGCAGGAGACCCTATACCATTCTGGACAAATGGCTGTCCAATCTCTTCTTGAAAACCTCCAGTGATGGAGTACCCACAACTTCTGGAAGCAAGCTGTTCCACTGATTAATTGTTCTCATGGACAGGAAATTTCTAGGTTGGCTGTCTTTGTTAACCTTCCATTTGTTACTTCTTGTCCTCCCTTCAGGTGCTTTAGAGAATAAGTTGACCCCTTCCTCTCTGACAGTCCCTCAAATATTGGAAGACTGCTATCACGTCCTTCTCTTCATTAAACTAGACATACCCAGTTCCTGCAACCATTCATCATATGGTTTAGCCTCCAGACCCCTAATCATCTTTGTTGTTCTTCTCTGCACTCTTTCTAGTCTCAATTTAAAGCAGCTTGAGCAGAAACCGAGCAGATACAAGTGAATGAAATGGTAGAATTCTGAGGCTATCAATTATATTTTACCATTTCAGAATCTCAATGCCATTTTTAAGACTCTCTGATCCTAGAGAAACTTATTCTATTTATTAAAAATCCTAGAACTTGACAGAAAAATTCTAATCCAGTCCTTTTCTTACTGTGCTAGCTTTTTACTTGGGGAATGGGTTTGAGAAAAAGAACCTAAAATTCAAATATTGCATTTTCACCACCTGCAGTCTGAAGTGGTACATAGAGCTCTTCTAAATTCCTATTCATTTTTATTTATATATAAGCCAGAATTATGTACAGAAAGGGGGGAAATACCATACAAATTTCCTCACTCTGCTAAACTGTAGGGAACAAGCATAATATCTGGTGATGGTGCTAACATTGCAATTGCTTTCTTCTGACTGAAGGCTGGGAAAAAAAATCTGAAGAATCTAATTGTTTTCACCAGAATACTGATGGGAAGGTGACAGATTTCCTGAGTTTCTACACACTGCCCTCCACCATTATGAACCATCCTACACATAAGAGTTTGAAGGCAGCGTATTCATTCTACAATGTCCACACCAAGACACCCCTTCATGACCTCATGAATGATGCCCTCATACTGGCCAAATTAGTGAGTTTCTTGGTTTGCTTCTAAATGCTGTAGCATTTAAAGGGAAAACAGTATTAATAAAAGCAATCTATCTGCCCTAGAGAGATGAAGAAAAATGTAGAATGCTTACTAATTGATTTTTTTATTAAAGAAATGAAGTTTTGCTACAATTGAGCAAAACTTTTTCTTGTTAACGCTGTGGAGCTACAAAGTATTTTTATATACACACATACAGTATATACCCACCAAGTTTCTTTAACTGCCTCTTTTTGCAGAAGGGCTTTGATGTTTTCAATGCACTGGATCTTATGGAAAATAAGACCTTCCTAGAGATGCTGAAATTTGGGATTGGTGATGGAAACTTGCAGTATTACTTCTACAATTGGAAATGCCCCAGCATGGGACCAGAAAAGGTAGGTCAAACCATGCCTTTTGGAAGAGTCTGCAATATGGGTAGACAAATGACATGTGAAGCTGTCCATAAGCCTTCTAAATTGTTATGCTGATTGAGACACACCAAGCACAGGTATGTCAGCTGCTGGAGAAAATGGGCAGCAACAACTGCAATGTAACCCCAAGGAACATAGTCTGTTTACTTACTGTAATTATTCCAAAGGAAACAAAGAGCTAGGAAGTTATATTTGCTGAAAATACAGTAATAAAGGAAGATAAGGTTGAAAGCCAGCAGTTGTGTGGGAGATGCAAAAGATAATTAAAAGTGAGTGACTAAAGCAGAGGTAGGAGAGGCCACTATCCCAGCTGTTCTCTGGTTGCTGAGTATATGGTAGTAGAGGAAATTCCTGTTAAAAGCAGTTAAATGAATGTGAGCAAAAGGTGCAAATAAGGAAAGCAAAGGTGGAAAAGGAGAAGGCAGGAAACAAGAAAATTGGCTATATCTCTTTCATGGCAGGTGGAGGGTGAGCATACAGTATTAGCTCTGTTCTTGTTTTTATGCCTTGTCCATATACAGTGAGTGAAAAAATTATTTGATCCCCTGCTGATTTTGTACATTTGCCCACTGACAAAGAAATGATCAGTCTATAATTTTAATGGTAGGTTTATTTTAACAGTGAGAGACAGAATAACAACAAAAAAATCCAGAAAAATGCATTTCAAAAAAGTGATAAATTGATTTGCATTTTAATGAGTGAAATAAGTATTTGATCCCCTATCAATCAACAAGATTTCTGGCTCACAGGTGTCTTTTATACAGGTAATGAGCTGAGATTAGGAGCACTCTCTTAAAGGGAGTGCTCCTAATCTCAGCTTGTTACCTGTATAAAAGACACCTTTCCACAGAAGCAATCACTCAATCAGATTCCAAACTCTCCACCATGGCCAAGACCAAAGAGCTGTCCAACGATGTCAGGGACAAGATTGTAGACCTACACAAGGGCTATAAGACTATTGCCAAGCAGCTTGGTGAGAAGGTGACAACAGTTGGTGTGATTCTTCGCAAATGGAAGAAACACAAAATAACTGTCAATCTCCCTTGGTCTGGGGCTCCATGCAAGATCTCACCTCATGGAGTTTCAGTGATCATGAGAACGGTGAGGAATCAGCCCAAAACTACATGGGAGGATCTTGTCAATGATCTCAAGGCAGCTGGGACCATAGTCACCGAGAAAACAATTGGTAACACACTACACCGTGAAGGACTGAAATCCTGCAGCGCCCTCAAGGTCCCCCTGCTCAAGAAAGCACATGTACACGCCTGTCTGAAGTTTGCCAATGAACATCTGAATGATTCACAGGAGAACTGGGTGAAAGTGTTGTCATCAGATGAGACCAAAATCAAGCTCTTTGGCATCAACTCAACTCACTGCGTTTAGAGGAGGAGGAGGAATGCTGCCTATGACCCCAAGAACACCATCCCCACTGTCAAACATGGAGGTGGAAACATTATGCTTTGGGGATGTTTTTCTGCTAAGGGGACAGGACAACTTCACCACATCAAAGGGATAATGGATGGGGCCATGTACCATCAAATCTTGTGTGAGAACCTAAAATAAATCTACCATTAAAATTATAGACTGATCATTTCTTTGTCAGTGGGCAAACATACAAAATCAGCAGGGGATCAAATATTTTTTTCCCCTCACTGTAGAGAGTTATCTCTTATTGGGACAAGGCCAGCCAGTAAGACTCATGGATCTCAGAACTTGCTTTAGAGTAAGCATGCATGGAGTTTTTGTGCTTGCAATCTGAGTGTAAAAGCTCCCCCAAAAGAAGAAAGAGGCAAAAGGAAAAGCAGCTTGGTACCAAGAGACCAAGGATCTTTTCTCCATTTTCCACCCGAATGTACATGAGCAAGTTGTCCAAATGGAGCTATCCCCAGCGTAGAAGCAGTATTTGCATGTTACATGGGAGTAACAGCCATAGAGATCAGCTAATTTAGTACAGAGTAAGCCTGCTTAAGTTCATGCTTGCTGACCCCAGTCCCCCAAACAATTTCTCTTTCCCTGTGTGAATGTGTATGAGTAAGAGAGAGAATGCTGTGTGGTAAAATGGTTAGTGTGTATATGCAGACTGGTGAATAATTCAGTATGAAGGGGGGTTTGTCCTGTCCCATCCTTTTTTTGGTACAGTCTCTAGCCAGTTCATATATAACATTCATGTATGCATTAGGGTTTGGCATTGATTGGGATTCAAAGAGGAAACGGCGATTTGGAAAGTGTGTGAGCACTCGCATTTCACTGCTTGCCCACTCCTTAAAGGACCCACTTTTCTAAGGAAAAGATAAGCTTGATTTAAGGAAGTGCCAACCAGTGCAATATTCATGCGCCAGTCCAATACTCCTTTGGACCTACATCACTGAGTAATGCTGAGATACACACATGCACATATTCTCTGGGAGGAAAAATCTTTAGTGAGATTTAGGATGCCTTAATTGGCAGAGTGAGCAGGATATCTGTGCCTGTTGTTTTTACTCTGATCTTTGGGAAGGATACAAACACAGACTTCCTTAGAAGTAAATCTGGAAGAACGTACCAACCTCCTTCCCCTCCCCTCCTCAGTTTCTAGCTGTTATGCTTAAATGAAATATTAAAAGATATTAAAGACTAGCACTGATTAGTGAGCTCCTGTTCAACACTGAAGAGACAGCATGCTTTGAATATAGAGCAGGGAGGGGCTCACCAATCAGGTGAATAGTGCATAGACCTGCTGAGTCAAAAATCCGAAAATACTTCCTAACCCTTCTCTTCATCTTGAATGTTTTCCATAGGTTGGCTTGGTGTTGCAATAGCTATTTTTCTCTGAAGAAGGGCAGCCAAACAGTGAAGGCTGGGGCCAATTGCCGGCATGGAACTGAACCTTGTGGTTCAGAGTTCCATGGAAGTGACATAGTCCTGAGGAGAAACCGGTGCCCACTACACTGGCCACATGACATGGCATTTCTGATGATTGCATCATACGCCACTGAGCACACCAGTGTATTTCTTCCAGCTCTTGGCCTTTCCCTTGCCCCTCATGCAACATGATCAAGGGAATGTAACTGCTGAGAACTAGCTCACAATTCACATATATTGGAGTTAATGGGTGACTAATAAAAAGTATACTATATTTTATGTATGATTGCTGTTCATCTGAAGGGGAAACTGGGGTGGAACCATCAGGCAACATAGCTTTATAATCTTAGACTTATTGTTCAAAGAAATATTGCCTGTTTTCTTATTATGATTTTTGTAAAAAGATTAACATTTTGGCTCTTTGGCTTTTCATCAGAAGAGTACAATACAGATTCTGAGCTGCAGTACATGACTGGCCTAGTTAAGGAAGGTTTTAAGGCCAGTTTTCAATTTTTACATAGCACTAGAATTATTTAACTCCAATCCCATTAAGACAAACATTTTTTAAAAAAAACACCAAAGGGCTATTTTAATGGTGGATGATCTTTACTTCATTTTGGAGTAGGGTATGAATCCCAGCTATTGTTCCCTGGATGTACAATAATAAAACTATAGTACAGTCTCTGAATTAGCTAATGTATAGCTTGTGGCTTTTGGCTTAAGGAATTCATGTCTGGTTCTGTGGGAACAATTCTCCAGTTTCCTCCAATAAATTGTTATTGGAGGGGGTACAATATCATGAATTGTAGGTATTCTCTATCAGTTCTGATCTCCTTTTGTTTTCCAGCAATAGTATCTAACAAATCAACTATTCTAAACATTAGTTCTCTGTCTTGCAATCAACTTACATAGTCTAGCTTTGAAAAGAACGTTTTATGTCTTTTTCCTCCAATGAAAATCAGCTGATAAAATGAGAAGCTCTGCTTACAATTTTGCTAGTGTTTACAGATAACCCAGAACAAAAAATACCAGGCAAGCTAGAATGAAAATGGCCTACATCTTGGTAAGATAGAATAATGTAGAATTTATAGTACCATGACCAGGTAGATTCACAATTGGCTGACCAGCTGCACACAATGTGTAGTCCTCAATGGAACTACATCTACTGTATATGGAGAGAAGTATGCTGTGGGGTACCCCAAGGTTCTGTCTTAGGCCTAGTACTCTTCAACATCTTCATAAAAAATTTAGATCAGGGGATAGAAGGGGAATTCATCAAATTTGCAGATGACACCAAGCTGGAGGGAATTGCTAACACTTTGGAAGATAGACTCAAGATTCAGAAGGATCTTGACAGACTTGAGCATTGGGTCCTATACAACAAGATGCAGTTCATGGTGAGAAAAGTAAGGTCCTGCACTTAGGTAAGAAAAACCAAATGCACAGGTATAGAATAGTTGGTACCTGGCTGAACAGTAGTGTTTGAGAGGGATCTAGGAGTGGTAGTGGACAACCATTTAAGTATGAGCCATCAGTGTGCTGCAGCTGCCAAAAAAGCCATCGCAGTTGTAGGCTGCATCAACAAGGATAGTATCAAGATCACGAGAAGTGATAGTGCTGCTTTATACTGCACTAATGAAACCACACTGGTATACTGCATCCAGTTCTGGTCACCACAATACCAAAAAAGATGCTAAGACCCTAGAAAGAGTGCAGAGAACAACAAATATGATAAGGGGTCTGGAGGCTAAACCATATGGTGAATGGTTGCAGTAACTAAGTATGTCCATTGTAACGAAGAGGAAGACTATGGGTGACATGATAGCAGTCTTCCAGTACTTGAGGGGCTGTCACAGAGAAGAGATCAACCTATTCTCCAAAGCACCCGAAGGCAGAACAAGAAGTAATGGGTGGAAGATCATTAAAGAAATATCCAACCTAGAACTAAAAAGAAATTTCCTGAGAGAACAATTTAATCAGTGGAATGGCTTTTTACAGTTCCCAGCAGTCCCAGGCAGCACGACTAATGGTGAGGAATGCTGATACGTACAGTTCAGTAACATCTGAAGGTCCTCTCCATTGTACTGTTTCAGACTGCCATGTTACAATACAGTATGACAACGAAAATGAAAAAAATCTTCCAATAGAATAGTATGTCACTAACAAGGTTGGTATTTTCTCATTTCATTTTCCCAGTGAAAGGATTGGATCATGCAGTGTCATCATAGTGTTTTTGCAGCAGGTGCAGGGTCTGCTTTTCGGATCAACAAGCACCATCCTGTGTGATCAAACACAGCATCCGGGTATAACTGGGCATTTTTCAATATAAAATTTTTATTGTTTTCATCATAAAAAAAAACAACACCAGTATTACACAATATTATTACACAATATTATATCCCACCCCCCCGGACTTCCCAAACCAAATCCCAGGCTAATATTCAGATATAAGTAAACGAATATTAATTTCTCTAACTCCACAAACTCTATTATAAACAATCCATCTCCTCCATATTAGTAAAAATTATTCATTTAAGTAATTCAGATCA